CCTAATTAATTTTTTATGAATTAATGAAAATTTGGACCGAATTAGTAGGCATGTCTAGCCAACCACACCACACGCGTCATCACCTTCAATAGCTGCGCCATCACGTAATGGCTGCGTTCAAAAACCATTGAGCGCCTACTGAACGTGATGTTCAGTAGGCGCGAAATGGTTTTTAGTCATGTAACTCTATTGTAAATAAAACATGTAAAGTACTGAAAAAAAAAATTCATAAAAAACGTTTTAATAACAAGCTTTTATGTAATGATGCACTAAAAAGTAGAAAATAAATTATAGACTACTATTTAAATAACTATAAAGAAAAGCGTGGGTCACTTTAGTATCTATTGGATACCTTTACTAATGTTAAGGAAGACACCCACGCTTTTCTTTATAGTTATTTAAATAGTAGTCTATAATTTATTTTCTACTTTTTAGTGCATCATTACATAAAAGCTTGTTATTAAAACGTTTTTTATGAATTTTTTTTGGAATATGTTTCTGGATCGTATTTACCCCCAAATGTTTATTTGACGTTTGCTGACATAGGTAATCTCGCATCCAGACGCGGTGTTACGATTGTGTCAATGTTGGATATAATGTTTAGCCAAGTGTGAAGTATTTGTGAATATATGTTTAGAGTTGTGGTCAAGGGTCTATCTGTGGAGATACGGAAATAAAGGTTACGAGCCTACCCGCGGCGTAGCATACGCCGCTGTTTAGTTTTTTTCTTTTTTTTTTTTCTACTTTTCAGTAATTTATAATCTGTGAGTTCGACAGTACTAGAGCTGCAACTGAAAATATTTTGCATTAAAAAATTGACTCGTGAAGGACGATTTATAGGAGAATTATATATATATATATATATATATATATATATATATATATATATATATATATATATATATATATATATATATATATATATATATATATACATATAGAAGATGGATGTTTGAAGATTTGCTTTACTATCTAGCTGATTAATACGGGAATCAAGGTTACGGTTTGTGTTTTGTTTAAATATCTAGCTGATTAATCTACGCGATCAACGATAAAAATAAAATACAACTTCCAATAAAGCTAAAACGGATGTGTCGAAACGTAGAAAATGATCAGATAATTTCACACTTACTGCAACGTTTTTATAATCTAGCGCAGAGTGATATATTTATTCTATAATTAAACGAACACTGCATATTCAAATAGCCCTATAGGCATATTTAAATTCCTTATTTAAAATTTTTCCCACTTCTTTCCCATCTCCTATGTTCCAGTTCTGCTGTTGAGATAGCTCAACCGTCTGTCAGATTTCCGATCAATTTTTATTTTATTTTAACTTAAATCCCCCACCGTTGACTTGAAACTAACTGCTCGACTTAAGATTTTAAAAAAAATGTACAAGCTTAGTTTTTCTGTATCGATCTCATAAAATCAATATTTAATTTGTCAGCTCAGCACAAGGTTTAGATTTATCGTTGGTGTAGTTTTTTTTTTAACTTTTCCATCTGTGTCGTTTTTAAAAAAAAAAAATCTCCGACGTGTGTTTAATTTCTTTACCTTTACTATTTTAATTCAGTTAATATATTTAATTGACAATTAGTTGTTAGCTGTAAAGTACTCGATAAAAAACTCTTGTCGTAAATTCAGTAGCAACTTCATAGCTAGTGTGTAGTAATTAATTATGTTTTATTAGTAGTTCGCAAAGCACGAAGCCTCATGGCGTGAAGATTACCAACTCGAGAATCTACAATAGAAACAGGGGCTAGAGTCCTTCACCAGCTCGGATTGTGTACCTACCATGAGCGTAGGGCATTTATAAGTTCAATCTGTTCGGTATGGTACCTAGCATGGCCTAAGCGTACACCCTTCAATGCTTACACCCCCCCCCCCCCAATGTGTACACCCTCCATTGCGTACGCCCTCTAATGTGTAGACCCTGTTATCTACGACTTATGAACATAATGCAGCTAATCTCATATTGCCAGATCTCACATATTTGTTACTGGTTTAACGTGTCAGGAATCTTGTCTCTAGGCACATTTGATGACCCTCCCCAATAGCAGTTCCGTCCATCAGAGCTACATCTCTTCGGAAGGAGGGACACCGCCTTCTCCCCCTCTCTGTAGCAAAGCCAACCGCTCCCCTCCCAAAACGAATGTCAAAGAATTTATGGACAAAAATACTTCAACCAGTGTCCATCCCCCGGAAATTTTAGTGACCCCCTCACCCATGAAAAAAATGTTTGAAAGAAACACTGTTAACCATCTATCAGTCTAGCACATCTGCCACTAGGACCAGTTCATCTCCCCTCCCTCCCCCTTGTTCGTCTTGTGGCCAAGGTCAACTCCTCTCACTGTAATCCAGTCAACCTTTTAGTTTATTTGAACTGCCTGCAGTTATGACCTATACACAGAGGGGTGCGTCCCTTCTCGGCACCCGGGGGTCAAACTTTCAATTTGGCGCCCCCCTCCCTATTTAGTTTTTTATATTTATAATGTAAAACAGCTAAAATGCAGCCCATTTAGGAGCTACCTAGGGTCGGCGCCCGGACTAATGTAACCCCCTCGCCCCCCCCCCCCCTTCGCTACGCCTTTGCCTGTTTACCTTATTAATACATGCACATTTGTAAACAAAAACAATATTGCACAACCTTTATTTCAACTCTTTTCTTTTAAACAAATGCAACTCAATACAACCTTTTTATTTATTTTATATTTTTAAAATATTTTTTTATATATTGATAACATTATTTAAAAATACGACAATTAAAATCGCATTAGAAAAAAATTGATCAAATGTTGATTAAAAAATTGTCACAAAATTAATATCAATTGGATTGGCCAAAGGATATTTATAAGCTACTTAAATCTTCATTTTAAAAGTTTTTGAACTTATTTAATTTGAAATTACCTGCTTATTCAAAATGTCATTTTGAATAACGGTTTAAAAAATGAGTATAATTTTTAATCAACGTTTTTAATTTGATAGCAATGGTCTCTTTATTACTTTTCCGTTTTGGACTGTGACTCTTTGACTGTGCGATGAAAAGCTAAGAGGGAAAAAAAAATAACGAATATTCCTAACCTAAATTATCTCTGCCCCAAATGTTGCTTTTTTTAACATTGTTTATTTTTTGGGAAACGAATTAGAAAAATGTTATTGATTTAATTTGTTTTCATGGGAACACTTTAAAATATTGATAATTTAATAAACGTTCAATAAGTGGGACGCTGTTATAAATAACCACGTGCAAATAATTATGTACCATAATTATTATTAATAAGTGATTTGTTTTCGCGAATTAATTAAGGCGAAATAACTAGAAATTACAGCTGCTGAATTAATTTGTTGAGTGAATAAAACGATTGCATTGTTCTTTAATGAGTCAATAAAAAAAACAACTAATCATTCAATTCTATTATTGATGTAATTCATAAACTATTTTAACCGGTCCTATTATTTTTTGTGTAACTCGATTAATTGACGAAGTGGTCGGATCGTAAAGCGTACGAGAGCTTCCCAAAAGCCTGTAGTTCAGATCCGTAGGTCATAAGGTCATCCATGAGTCCATCCAGCTCTTATTGGTACCTGACTCACGTTAGGGAAAGTAAAGGCGGCTGGGCATAGTGTCATCACACTAACATTTCATATGTCGAGGTCACAGAAACAGGTGAACGCTATTTCACCTGCCCCGTTGACAATCTAGCTCGAAAATGTACTTAACTTTTTTTTTTTTACTTTGTTAGGCAAATTACAATTAATGTGGTTCGATTAAACGAATCTTCAAACATTTACTTTTTGAAAAATATATTTTCATTCTCATTACATTAATATTGTTTCGATTTATTTTTTTATCTAATTTTTAAAAAATTTTAAATCTTACCTAAGTCTTAGATGAAACTTTAAATCATAAAATATTTCCCACATTGACGCTACATTGTGTTTTGTTTAACCTTTTGATAATCCCGGGTCCCGTTACTGATTCCAATCATCGTATTGATTGTATTATTTCTATAACAGTGTCTGTACGGTCTGATGGAATATAGGATATCTATTTATCCTGAGAATTTAGGATTGTTTGATTGTGTCAATCACTCAACCTTTGTTGTCACCAGATCTATGTAATCTGTGTAATCTGACGAACGTCTGTGTAATCTCACGTTGTCTGCTTTGTTATTAACGCTGTATAAATTATAAAACGTAAGTTTATATTTTTCGAAAAGAAACGTAAATGGAAAAGTAATTGTTCTTCTTTTCACATATTGATAATAATTAAAGAGCAAAACTCATCTAAAAAATTCATAAAAAACGTTTTAATAACTGGCTTTTATGTAATAATGCACTAAAATGTAGAAAATAAATTAAGACAAACTACCATTTAAAAAACTAAAAAGAAAAACGTGAGTCACTTTATTATCCTTTGGATACCTTTAATAATATTTAGAAAGAGACCCACGCTTTTCTTTATAGTTTTTTTAAATAGAAGTGTATAATTAAAGAAACATAATGTATGTTGTTGTAGTTTTTTTGTGTGTATTTAATTCAATTTATTCAATAACGGTAACAATAGTAGGCACGGAGGCCTTTTTTACAATGGTCTTTTGAAAAACCATAAAAACAGCATTAATAAAAAGCAATTGGGTAGTAAAGACAGTAGTAACACCTATTTGGACAGCTCTACGATAAAATTCTGAGCAGTTTTCTACGAAATAATAGAATTAACTGTTAGAAAATTAAATTAAAGAATTTAATCTAATGTGAGTCAGCCCGGACTCGAACTCGACACTTTCAGGTTCGCAGTCGTGCACTCTATCTTCCAACCACAAGTCTCACCTATGTATTTGTATTACTTAAAGATCTCATGCGCCTATATATTAACCTTGTCTTTGAATCTCTTTTCAACACGAAGTAAATTGTTCTTTTGTTATAATTTTCAAATGTTTTAGATATAGATCAATATTTACAACAACAAAAATAGACGTGGGTGTTTTCCATTTCAGAGAAGATTTGGAACCACCGGATGAGGAACGACCTATGAGTCTCTGGTCATGTGTCTTCTACGTCATTGCCAACGTCATTGGGATGGTCCTATACTGGCTGTACCAGCAACAAAGGTACGCTACTAGCAATGATCGTTCATTTGGCTGAGGCTTACCTCCCCTATTACCAAACACAACAATTTTTTTTTAAAACTTTCACGGGTAATAATTGTTTATTTTGTTGAGGTTTTACCTTCCTTAAAACAAAAAAAAAAAAAACTTTTTTCTAAAACCGGTTGCATTTACTAAGATCAAGCTGGAAAATGCTGCGAATGAATTAAAAAATCGCTAATAACTGAAAATTCAGCTCTTTAATTAATATAACGTATTTAACCAAATGTAGGTGGTTAATATAAAGCATTTAGCCTAATTTAGTTCGTTAATGTAAAGTATTTAACTGACCTATGTAATTTATTTTGTTTATAAAGCATTAAACCAATATTATATCACAAATATAAAGCATTAAGCAACCCCTATAACGTTAATAATATAAAGATATCGGACAAAAATTACATCGTGAATATAAAACATTTAACCAAATTTATATCACAAATATAAAGCACTCAGTCACCACCATCACGTTACTTATATAAAGCAGACGACAAAAAATAAATCTTGAGTATAAAGCCTTTAGCCAAACGTATTAAATTTATTTATATCATTACTATCATATAAAGCACTCAGACAAATGTCCGCCTACGCGTCGTGATGAAAGACAGTTTTTACACCGACGCACCGAGACAGGAGAAGACAACTTTCATCCAAACATCACGTAGGGGACATAACTATCTCAGCCCCCATCAACCAGGGCTGGCTAATATTGAACACGTTACCTTGTGCATGGATGGTCAGCGATTCCTGGAGAATTAATAATCTTAGAGTAGGGGTAGAGAAAGGAGCGTCTCTAAACGTGTCCGGGTCTTTTTTGGTGGTTGTGTTTTGTTGGTGTAGATTGGTGGTTGTGTTTTGTTGATGTACATTGGTGATTGTGTTTTGTTGGTGTAACTTGGTGGTTGTGTTTTGTTGTTGTACATTGGTGGTTGTGTTTTGTTGGTGTAACTTGGTGGTTGTGTTTTGTTGTTGTACATTGGTGGTTGTGTTTTGTTGGTGTACATTGGTGGTTGTGTTTTGTTGGTGTACATTGGTGGTTGTGTTTTGTTGGTGTACATTGGTGGTTGTGTTTTGTTGTTGTACATTGGTGGTTGTGTTTTGTTGGTGTACATTGGTGGTTGTGTTTTGTTGGTGTACATTGGTGGTTGTGTTTTGTTGGTGTACATTGGTGGTTGTGTTTTGTTGGTCTAGATTGGTGGTTGTGTTTTGTTGGTGTAACTTGGTGGTTGTGTTTTGTTGGTGTACATTGGTGGTTGTGTTTTGTTGGTGTAACTTGGTGGTTGTGTTTTGTTGGTGTGCATTGGTGGTTGTGTTTTGTTGGTGTACATTGGTGGTTGTGTTTTGTTGGTGTACATTGGTGGTTGTGTTTTCTTGGTGTAGGGCCTACATTGGTGGTTGTGTTTTGTTGGTGAAGTTTGGTGGTTGTGTTTTGTTGGTGTAGATTGGTGGTTGTGTTTTGTTGGTGTACATTGGTGGTTGTGTTTTGTTGGTGTAACTTGGTGGTTGTGTTTTATTGGTGTACATTGGTGGTTGTGTTTTGTTGGTGTACATTGGTGGTTGTGTTTTGTTGGTGAAGTTTGGTGGTTGTGTTTTGTTGGTGTAACTTGGTGGTTGTGTTTTGTTGGTGTACATTGGTGGTTGTGTTTTGTTGGTGTACATTGGTGGTTGTGTTTTGTTGGTGTACATTGGTGGTTGTGTTTTGTTGGTGTACATTGGTGGTTGTGTTTTGTTGGTGTACATTGGTGGTTGTGTTTTGTTGGTGTACATTGGTGGTTGTGTTTTGTTGGTCTATATTGGTGGTTGTGTTTTGTTAATGTACATTTGTGGTTGTGTTTTGTTGGTGTACATTGGTGGTTGTGTTTTGTTGGTGTACATTGGTGGTTGTGTTTTGTTGGTGGTTGAGTTGTAACCTGAGGTATGTTAAATGGGTTTGGGTAAAATATGGAGTGGAGTTTTTAATGTGGTTGTCGTGGTCAGTGTGGTGATATTTGCTGTGATCAGTAGAAATTTGTTGTGGTCAGTATGGTGATGTGTGTTGTTGATAGCTTTAAATGTCGATGTATGCTGTTGATAGCTTTAAATGTTGATGTATGCTGTTGATAGCTTCATAAGTTGTTGTGTGTTGTTGATAGCTTCATAAGTTGATGAATGCTGTTGATAGCTTTAAATGTTGATGTATGCTGTTGATAGATTCAAAAGTTGATGTGTTCTGTTGATAGCTTCATGAGTTGATGTGTGCTGTTGATAGCTTTATGAGTTGTGTGTTGTTGATAGCTTCATAAGTTGATGGTTGTTGATAGCTTTAAATGTTGATGAGTGTTGTTTATAGCTTAATGAGTTGATATGTGTTGTTGATAGCTTCATAAGTTGATGTGTGCTGTTGCTAGCTTCATACGTTGGTGTGTGCTGTTGATAGCCTTAAATGTTGATGCGTGTTGTTGATAACTTCATAAGTTGATGTGTGCTGTTGCTATCTTCATAAGTTGATGTATTCTGTTGATAGCTTCATAAGTCGATGTGTGCTGTTGATAGCTACTTGAGTTAGATTCATTGTGGTCTGTTTCAAATCACGTGTCTATAATGCACCAATTAACCCTTAATTAGCCCTTGTCAAATGGTGGCAAGCTGGGTTAGGGCCCTTAGTTGTCAGCTGCTTGCTAAATCCAGCATCACGCAGCTCTTGAAGGTTGGCCCGGGGCGTGGAGTGGCTCAAGTCATGTGTTGGGTTTGGGTAGGTTAAATCATTTGTGGGCTTAGAGTAGGTCAAGTCATTTGTAGGCTTAGAGTAGGTCAAGTCATTTGTAGGATTAGAGTAGGTCAAGTCATTTGTGGGCTTAGAGTAGGTCAAGTCATTTGTGGGCTTAGAGTAGGTCAAGTCATTTGTAGGATTAGAGTAGGTCAAGTCATTTGTGGGCTTAGAATGTATTAAATCATTTGAGGGCTAGAATAGTTTAGTTAACAGGGGTCGGCAACCTTTTGAGACGAAAGAGCCAAAACTTACAATTTATAATATTACCCGGTTTTTAAAGAGCCACTAACATTTTTATGTCAATAGTATATTTGTTTAGGATTATATATATATATATATATATATATATATATATATATATATATATATATATATATATATATATATATATATATATACATATATATATATACATATATATATACATATATATATATATATATATATATATATATATATATATATATATATATATATATATATATATATATATATATATATATATACATATATATATACATATATATATATACATATATATATACATATATATATACATATATATATATATATATATATATACATATATATATATATATATATATATATATATATATATATATATATATATATATATATAATCCTAAACAAATATCATTATATATATATGTATTTAATTTAAAATAAATAGCTTTGAATATATGAAATCTCATTTGAATTTGTGTTGAGAAGATCTACTACGTAAGACAGAGTACTTGCAATTGTTTTGAATTGCTCACATCTCTCAGTTAAAACATCCTTCATTTTGTTAACAATATTAAAGTGATTGAATAGTAGAATTGGTTTCATAACGATATTTTTTTTCAGATTTTTCTTAATTAAGTAATTTATCGCTCATCATGTATTAAATAAAAAAAGTATTTTTTTTCTAAACAAACCACTTCTTCAAGCAAGACATAGTCCGGGTTTTCCTTTCAGTTTTACACTTAGCTGGTTTAGTTTCTTTGTGATTTCCACTATGAAGTTGAATGTTTCAATTCGGAATGGACAATTTTATAGGAAGTACATTGACATAAGGAGTAAATATTCTACTATAATAGTGAATGTTTATTGTTTATATCTATTGTTATATCGTTTATTACTAATATTTTTATGAGTTTTGAAAATAAAATAATTATTAATATTTGTGCATGGAGCTGAAGAGCCGCAACTGGACACTAAAAGAGCCGCATGCGGCTCGCGAGCCGCAGGTTGCCGACCCCTGGTTTAGTAGTTAATGTTAATAATAAGGACGCCGGGAAGTAATTTTTCAGACTTAATTTATAATCAAATACTTCGTCGTCTACAATTGAATGGGTAAGTTGATGTTGGTTAGGTTTTAATATTAAAATTATTCGACAAAGATTATGGTTGCATTTTGTTAGGTTAGGATATCGATTACATTATGTATTAACATTAAGGTTAAAGTTATGATTAGAATAGCAGTAAAAGTTATTTATAGACGCATGGTTAGGGCATGGGTTTAAGTTGCTCGTAGGTCGTGCGTACAACATGCTAGACATTTTCTTTTAAACATTATCTGCCTATGAGTTATGGGTTTGTTCCCCTTAGCTAGAGCTGCCTCCCCTTGAGAGCGGTCATAGAAAATAATTAAGATTGATCAACGCCAAAAACCCTGAGTAAATGTTGCCCCACGTAATACAACACCGCATCTCTTCATAATTTCCTCAATAGCGGTTCTAAACTTATCGAACAGGGTGCGACTTTTTGAGTGTTAATATTGCTTTTAAATTCTCACAAAAATTCATGGATCCCCCTACCTTCCGTACAGCGTGATAAATGGAATTTGTTAGTTAATATTATTTTTTTTCTCCTGACCAGGAGTCTAGTAAAGTTTTAGATTACTCTCCCCCTTTTTCCCTAGAGATCAGCTCCCTAACCCTCCTACGTGATCGATATTGACACAGTTATGTCCCTTGGAGAAGGGGGTAGAGTTGTCCCTCCTGCTAGATGCAATAAATTGCATACGTTCTGTAATAAACTTCCCATGTTTACCCAGCCCAGTCCTGCGAATGAGTTTTTTCTTTCTATGACCTGCTGATTGTTAACATGGATCTAGGGGAAATTTGGTCTTGTAGTTGCCTAGAATGTTTTCTATAAAACGGAACTAATATAGTGCCCTGATATATAGTGCCCTGATATATAGTGCCCTGATTCGGTACAGTGAGTCAGTAGGCCTACAGTTTTTATTTCAGTATAGTGCCCCTGGGTCAGTAGAGTGTCCAGCCGATCATAACAACTGAAACATAGGTAAACTGATATATATATATATATATATATATATATATATATATATATATATATATATATATATATATATATATATATATATATATATATATATATAAATCAAGCTTGAAATGGCAGTTATGTGTGTCACGAGACTTAGGTTGTCCTTCCTTCTCAATATGTTTTAAGCATGTCTTAATATAGACTTCATTGTATGCGCCAAATGTCTATATAGCTGTTCAGGATATGTATAGTTAACATAACTTATTTTGTAACTTAATTTTTTTTTAAAATTAATAGTGTCATTTTCGGATCATTAAATTTTTGTTTGTTTTTTTTTCAGAACAAAAAAGTAATAGTTAGCTTAATTAATTAATTAGCTTAATTAAGTAGCCTCACCATCTTGTTTGTGGATAAGATACATGCAGTGTTTCTTCCAGACTTTTTTCTCTGCGGGGGGGGGGGGGGGTGCGCTTTATATTTTCGGGGGCTGGCGGTCTACATTTTCCGGGGGGGGGGGGGGGGACACTAGTAAAAGTATATGTTTACTATATAAATTCCATCTCATTCGGGGGGGGGGGGCGGAAGAGATGCCTGGAAGAAATTCTGAATACATGGAGCAGAAGTAGAGTTCATCTATTTCAATGACCTAGTCATACAGAGGGATAGCGTGGCCAGCACTATACCCAACCGCCTTAGTTTCCCTTACGTGAGTCAGCTACCCATCAGAACTGGATGGACTCGGTGACTTCCTACATAATCTAGCCCGGGATCCGAACTCGAGACTTTCGGGTTACCAGTCATCAGCTCTACCATACAACCACACCGCCCCCTTTTAAGTAGCTTATATAGCTAAAATTTCCTCTCGGTGATACGATTATATCTATTATCTGGGTACGGCTAACCGACTATGAATTCCCCACAGATCACAACGCCTGCGACAAGAAGAGAGCGACTACATTGACAGATCAGGAGACAGTCTTGGTGTGTCCAGCAACTTGACCACCAACTACTACAGTCGTCAGAGCCGACGTACAGCGAGCCAGTCTTCACTGCTGTCCATCCTGGGAATATCCTACAACGGCTACAAGACCTTCTACGCTTTCGAGGACAGGTTCAGCAACTTTGATGACGTGAGTTGGGAGTTAGTTCCCTTTTGGTTTGATTACAAATTTTGATGGTGGGGTTTTCGTTTGCGGTGAGTTTTGAGTTTCTTACCTTGTTAATATAATGTTAATGTGGCTTGCTTCTTCTGCGCTATAATTGAATACAATTTAATAATCGACAATATTTAATGAGGCTTTCCCATATTTTTATTTATGTATTTAATTTGATACTCGCTAACTACGCCGCCCCCCCCCCCCATACATCATTTTAAAAAATTGCACACGAAGATGTATTTAAAATAGGAACTATCTTACCTATTTTCACAAATTTTCATAAATTTCACAAAACAAGTGAACTCAACTTCACTTGCCGTCAGGTTTAAAAATGGAACAACTGTAACAGTAAAAAACAGTAAAATTATCTTATCTTGTTTTAATGTGTTATCATCGTCAACCTCCAACTCAACTGCTGTCCTCTCTTTGTGGAACTGGTCTCATCACAGAGTTTCTTCCAAGCTTCTCTTCTCTCTCTCCCCCCCCCCTCCCCCCCCCCCCCTGGAGAAAAAAGTATGGAAGAAACACTGATCACAAAACACTCAGAAAATTAGGAAGAAATTGTCTGTTTCTTCATCATTCAGGCTATTTTTTCATCGTCCCTCCGTCCCCCTCCCTCCCCCCATTTGTCTTACAGTTCATCTAACTTGAAAAAGTCCAATCTCTTCAATGTTATTCTAAAATAACATATGGCTTCGTTTGCTCATTTGTATTCTGCTTACAGTGAACTAGCGAATCTTTAGCAATTTTTTTTTACCATACGAATTT